TGAGTGACAGAAGTAAAGGTTTTGTGGTACTGTTTCATTTGACAAGTGATTTAAGGAATTTTCATGGGGAATTTTGATTATACCCAATTTTTGTAGTGCAAGCTGCCTTTGAAACTAACCACTGGGTGAGACTTGATTCCACTGCAGTTTAAAAAGTAGTGGAAGAATTAAATCACCAAACAAGACATCCACCACGTACATGCCAAGCTCAAAAATCTTGCACTATAACAGTTAAACCATAATCACAACAGAAATGTTGATTTATTTTCAGTAAAACAGCAACCCTAACATTAACCAGCACATTACACTAATGTTGTCATTGTGCACTTTGTTGGGCTGACAGCTTTGGTTGACTTTATTTACATTTGTGTTGGATTTTACAGTGACATAAGCATATGGAATTTAGACCTTAATGGGTTGGTACAAATTTAGGTTACATTACAATCAACATATTTTAAGCCCAACAATAAGAGTTCATTGGAACTTATTTTTAAGAATCCAAAATCCGTATCTTATAACAATTTTCTGATGACTAGTAGGAAAGTACCTAGGAGAAGGGCAGCCTTTGCTAATTCACACAAATATGCCCTATGTGCTCATGGTGGTGAACTGGTTTTTACCACCTCCCCCTACTGCTCTGGAATGAAATGTAGATTCCACCAGGCACTGCGATTTTATTTGGCATTTTCACAGCTTAGAGACCTCCCATTAAACCCCTTTCAAGCAGTTAACACTCTTTCCATCTCCCCTTATTCTATTTCTCTCCCTACCCTTTTCTCTCCCTCCTAGATCTGGACCTACCAACACTGTCTTCTAAATCACAACAGATCACTTTTCCTGGTTAATCTCACTTTCCAAAATTAACACAGCTTCTGAGCCGTCCAGTGTAGGGACATGCCAGATCCCGTGACCCAAGAAGACAGGAGGGCTCCAGCCCAAAAGTATATTTATGGAGCTCTCTCTGCTCTGCCTTATCTGTCTGGATCTGCTCCAGAGCCTCCTAAAAATCAATTCATGAAAGTATTAACTTATATACAGCTCCCTCTTGACTCATGTTAGCTCCTGTTCCTTTTGCAGTCAGCCTTTGCATCAATTTAGACAAATCAGATTGCTGCTGCAGCAGGTACTACCTTACAAAACTTTAATGCACCATGTGGTTTGGCCCTCAAAATCATCCTAACACTGTGGTATTAAAATTTTTTCACATATGGCTGTAAAAAGAATACAGAACTATGTCAAGAGAGTGGCTACTGCTACTAAGAGGTTGGAATAGAATGCACCAGGCAAGGTATTACCTGTAACCCTGCATTAATTCTTAATAAAATTCCCAACCATGATGACAAAAATGTTCACAGATATCAAATGGTTAGAAGGTAAAAAATAATTCATGTTATCTTCTGTTCTTAAATGTGTGAAATATGACAGTTAATATTTAAATTTTTTTAATTATATACATTGAAGATCACATTCTAATTATTCATCAGGAATCCCGAGTGCTAAGCTGACTGGACCCGGTCTCCAAGGGAAAGTAATCATGACTGCAGGGAATCAAGGGAAAGTAATTATGAATGCAGCTGTTAGGGTGATGTTGCAGTTCAGGGTGGTTCAAGGATGGTGTTATAGTCCCCAGGCCTGGGTGGCATCTAAGGGAAGCCATGAGTGGTTGACATACATACAGCTTGTCCCTCCACCCAAGCATCTGCTTCGCTCTGCGACCCTACCTCCATTGTTAAGCTCTTCTCCCAGTAAGCTTACTTCCCTTGAGGGAAAGAGGCATGCTTCAGTGATGTATCTATCCTGCCACCTAGCCTTCAGTGACATCACTGCAACAAGCTGCCTTTGGCGGCCCCTCTGCACAAGTTCTGCTGAACTTGCCTTGCTTAGGAAAGGACCTGAGGACTAGCTGCTCCTTCCTCAAAGTCACTACCTTATTTAGGGATAGTAGTGAGACATCAGGGTTGGAACACTTGATGCATACCAGTCTCTGCGAAAGGGACTGAAGTCAATGTCATGAGGTCTTCAAAATGAAATCAGTGGTACAAATGATCCTAAGAGACAAGAAAGATAAACCCTTTAACTGGTGTTTTTCTTTCCAAACCAGAAGAATCTGTGCCACTTTGTGTCCTATTAAAAAGTTGAGCTTCTCCAACCTGTGTCATCAGGCTACTTATTTTTCATCATTACAAACAGCTCCTCCTCATCATCATTGCCTTAGCAACCACTTAGAAACACAAAAAAATGACCACAGGGAAGGGCACATTAGCAGGCTTTATCAGATATAAGCATGCTACCCGCATTTTAAAAAGTCCAGATAGCACTACTCTGTCACTCAGTTACATGTCTTAAAATTTAGTTTTAAATAATCCATTCATTAATCTTCTAAAGGAAAAAGGAAGCATGATCTTTGGGGAAACAGGGCACAGGTAGGTATTTAACTTCCTGCTTCTTCAAGAGGGACTTAAAAGGGAACCAAAGCTCATCTATACCAGGTAGCAATAAAAATAAGTCAGCAAGAAAGGAGAGCACTGGAAAAGCCAACTGGACTCTAATATTTGTGTTTGGCAGAAATAAATAAGCCCCTCCCAATGAAATTCTTGCTTGAAGATTTTTCCCAGAATCAATTTTCTAAAGACTGAGGGGAAAACACCTGAACCTTTAGAATGGAGGACAAGAAGAGTGGAATCAGGAGGGGTGCCCGGGCATCCCCAACAATTCTCACTTCCATTCAAATATTAATTATGAATTCTCAGGCTCAAAACTCACACTGCTGGTCCCCTACTTTTGGACAAAATCCCTCTAAACAACCCCATGAAGCCAACAATTCTTTCTCTGTTGCCTTCTTGAGAAGCCCCTCAGGGCCCTGGGACAGCAGCTCCAGGCCCTGAATTCCTCCAGCCCTACATTTAAGGTAAAAGTAGAAGAAGATAAAGAAAGACTACGTGACCCAGGAGGTCTTGCCTACAGAGTGACCGCTAACCTTGCACGTCCACTTAGCTCCCTGAAAGACCAACTCCTACCACACTGTCTTCCCCCCACTTTTCCTGAATCATCCCCTCCCTGTTCCTCTCACCTAGCCTATATTTTCCAAGCCCCTCAAAGTTGGCCAGCCAAGAAGAAGTACCCCTGGAGGGCATCTTCTGGAGATACAGGGTGGCTAGAGCGAGGCTGCTCCTGTCTCCTTGGAAGGGGCACTCTACTTTCCCTACTCAGCTCAGATGCTCTTGGGGCCAGGCAGCTGAGGTAGTGCAGAGAGGGCTCATACCCCACGCATTGGTGCCACTATTCGAGTCTGAACTTGACACAAAGGAGAAAATAACACATGATCTCCCTCTCCTCTAAAATATTTCAACCAAACTGTTGAATATTAATTTGCTCCTTGCTTTACCAAGCCTCCAGAAAGCAGAGAGAAGCAATCTTCTTCATTCCACACAGCTCCTCCTCCCTCTCAGTCAACACCTAAACCCCTTTGGCAACAGGAACAAAAGCACAACTTTAAACTTTGGGCTTATTTTTAAATGTGCCTTTCGGGTGAACAGATAAGTGAGAAAAGAGATCAGGATCTGGGGGTGTGAATAGCATCGAATGAAAAGCTTCCAAATCGAACCAGCTAGAGAAACACTTTTTTGAAAGCAGTCCTACAGAAAGAATTCTTATCATAGATAAGGGTGCAGTCTAGTGGCAAACTTTGTGAAATGCAGCCCCTTCTCCAAAAGAAAACTACAGCTCTTCAGAGGAGGAAGGGAAATGTGAGGGAGGCACAGCCCTGCGCAAGGGCTCCCACAAGGGCAGGGCCAGTCGGCCGAATCCTTCTGAGTGGCTGAAGCATTGGGAACTCACCTGCCGCGTCAATTTCAGAAGGAAATAGAAAAGTGCCACTCTTTTCTCTTAAAACTTTAGTTTTCTTTCATTTGACTAAAGAAAGAAGGGGCCATAGTGCCCCAACAGCCTGTCTGAGGCGTCTGTGGCCTGCTGAGAATCTGTTCAGAGCAGGTCTTGTGGGCCTGTCACATCACATCCCTGAGATGCGCTTGTTTGCACGTATAAGCCTCAGGACAAGGTCTCCCCCGCTCTATCACCCATTCCCCCAAGAGCAGCTCTGCCCGACAGCAAGAGTGGCACTCCAAGATGCTCTTGCATCCAACAATTGAAGACAAGGACACCTGAGGGCACCGGGTAGTCTCCGGACTCAGCATTTCCTCTAAAGTTGGGTCTCAACTGTTCCCACCAGTGCTGATGGATGAAGTCCCTTCCTGCAAGTACACACAACACCACACACACGAAAGAGAGAAGGGGGTGCTTCCTAGAGCAACACTGTAGCCACTTCTTGACCACATGACCAAAGAGAGTCACCCACCAGTAACAGAATGCTTTTAATTGAATTCCCTTTCTGAGACTTTTTTGGGGCAGGGCAGCTTTTCTTCTCTTTTTCCTTTCTTTTTAATTCACTACCCCTCATTGGCTGTGGTATACTGCCAGTCTCTCTCTCTCTCTCTCTCTCTCTCTCTCTCTCTCTCTCACACACACACACACACACACACACACTTTACATGGTAACAGGTATTAGCAGACTGTCCTTTTCAAAGCTTGGAGAGAGTCTTTCGGGCACAGCATATATCCTGTTGGCTAATAAGAAAGTGCCCCCTCACCCCCCAGCCAGTGTCTCAGCTAGTTCGGGGCTAGAGGGAGGGGGAGGCCCAGGCAGTTGTGTTCACCCAGCTAGGAGGAATTCTCCTCTACTTGCCCCTCCACCTCCTGCCCGCCAGCAGCAGTCCCAGCCTGTCCCCCAACCCCCTTTTTTACATTCCAGAAGGAGGAGGGTGCAGTTCTGAGAACGCTGGGGAGCCCCCGTGTGTCTGGAAGGCCTTTCCCCGCCCCCACCCCGTGTGAGTCGGCTGCAAGGCTCCTTGGCATCCTTGCCTGGGTTGGGTGTTGAGAGCTCAAATTGCAGCTACAAACTGGCCCGCGGCCAGGGGCCGTCTATTTAAAAGCGCCTGCTCGCCCGGAGCCCGCAGTCTCTTTGGAAACTTCTGCCGAGGGGAAAGAGCTAGGAAAGAGCCGCAAAGCCCTGTGGGCTTTTTCCTTCTTTTGCTCCTTCTGATTGCTCCCTCCTCCGTTGCACCCTTCTCCGGACTTCACCCGAATTTCGAAGAGGCGGTGGCAGAGTGGGAGAAGAGGTGTTAGGGTTTGGGGTGTGGGGGGCTTTTTTTCCCCCTCTCGATTTCAACATTTTCTCCCACCCTCTCCGCTGTAGTCAACTCCTCTTACCTGGTCCGCGGCAGCCGCGCGCCGCTAGCAGCTGAGGATTAGAAAGAAGCCGGGTGTCTTAGATTTTAAGCAAAATTTTTAAAGACAAACCCATTTTTACCCACCCCACCCCCGCCAGCCCGTTCTCCACAGCCTCCGAGCGCATTATTTCGGTGGTTGCTTTGGGGTGAATAATTTTGTGGCTTCTTCCTCTTCCAGTTCTGACCGGATCCCTTTGAGGGGTTCTGCGGCCTCAGCTCACTCCGCGTGCACCTGGCGCGCCTCTTTTTTCCCCCAACCTGTTGCAAGTCTTTAATCCTTGCAATAGGGGCTTGCTTGCCGGCGCTTGAATCCTCCTCTCCCTTCATTTTGCAAGTCTCTGGAGGAGGGCACCTGCTCTACCTGCCGGAGATCTAAAAGGAAAATCTCCAGGCGCCCTCTCGGCTCATTTCTTCCCGCACCCTCGCTCTCCTGCCCCGCCCAGAGGTAAAAGGAGACTCGGAGAAGATGGTGCTCACCACGGTCCTCCTGCTGCTGGCCGCCTGTGCGGGGCCGGCCCAGGGCTTGGGCTCCTTAGTGCACTGCGAGCCCTGCGACGAGAAAGCTCTCTCCATGTGTCCCCCCAGCCCTCTGGGCTGCGAGCTGGTCAAGGAGCCCGGCTGCGGCTGCTGCATGACTTGCGCTCTGGCCGAGGGGCAGACGTGCGGCGTCTACACTGAGCGCTGCGCCCTGGGGTTGCGCTGCCTCCCACGGCAGGGCGAGGAGAAGCCCCTGCACGCCCTGCTGCACGGCCGCGGGGTTTGCCTCAACGAAAAGAACTACCGCGAGCAAGCCAAGATCGGTGAGCGCGCTCAGTGTGCCAGCGACACGGCGCACGGGCGGGGGACTCGGGACGGGTTGAGCCCGCGCGCTGTGCGCAGCAAGTGGCTGGGAGCCTGGTGTATCCTGGGAGTAGTCGGGATGGGTCCTTGCACCTCGGACCTGGAGCCCCGGCGGATCCTGCTAACCTGAGCTGCTGTCTAACCTAGACTACCCTAGTTTTCGTTCCTTCGCCTTACCCTGCCTCCACCAGACCCTCCCCCACCGGGACGCGGGCTTGGAGCTCCTTCTGGTGTCAAGGTCCAAATGCCCTGGTACCCAGTGTCCACGCTGAAGGAGTGTATGCTGCTGCATTATCAACTCCCTCCTCTCCAACCCTCCCTTCTGTGCTTTCTTTATTTCTGAACTTGAAAAATGTCTCTTTTGTTAAAATATTGCTTTAATTAAGGCCTGAAGAGAGGCGTTACCCATCTTCTGGGTTAATTCCATCTTTGTCCCTCCCAGTCTCCCAGCCGCCCCACCCCAAGCCCCAGCCCTGGGACCTGTCCACCTCGCTACCCCTTGTGTGCGCGTGCACACACACACGCACACACACACACATTCGCGTGCACACTTTCGAGCACACACTCATCTTTGGTAGCTAGGGCCTTTTGGGTGGGGGCCTTGAGGCCCCTCACGTGCACACTCGTTGCTTTTGACTGTATATGATTGATTGTGGTAGATCATAAAGCGTTTTGAACTGCAAAATGCCATTTCCCCTCCTCAGGAAGGAAAAGAATACAGTATTTAAGGATCGCTGGGGGAGCAGGGTGAATAGGAAGGAAGGTTTCGGTGTTGTGTGCCGGATGGCTCCTCCCTGAATCTAATGCTTTTTCCTGATCCAAATTTTACCTAGGATGAAGGGTAGACTTAAGGCTGGAAGGCAACCTAGGTGAGCTGCAGACATCTGCAACTTCCCGGCTGGCACCGATCGTCCCCCATCCATCCACCCCACCTTGGCCCCCCAATGCTCCCACGCCCCATCTCTCAAACCAGATCATGAGTGGGTGTGGCTCAAATGCAAGAGGGGCCCTGGAGACGCAGAGTGCGAAATTTTAGGGCGGAGACAGAACAGCCCCGCCCCCAGAGCCTCCGCCCACTTGCCCCACCCCCAGCTGCCCTGCCCTCAAGCTCTGGGCTCCAGGAGTCTAGGGTTTAAATGATTGACAGAACTCCTTGTTCAATCAGAACAGTTCTGCCTCCTTACACTAGTTTTCTTTTGGGAGTTCCCTGAAGAGAAAAAAAAGTGTGTGTGTGTGTGTGTGTGTGTGTGTGTGTGTGTGTGTGTGTAGAATTTTTTTAACTTTACAAGCGATACACAAAAGTCTGGGTTACTGCTTCTCTCCTAAAGGTGTTAAAACTTAGCTAAATAATGTTTATTTTGTGTAGCCACTTACTGCAATAAGGCCCTTCTCCAGCTAACACCCTCAACTGTTCACAAGCACCCCAATTTGAGTTTTCTTAAGTGCAAACCGCAAACATTGTTGCTTAAGAGAAGAGTTTGCTCGCTTGCCGATTAGGGAAGAGCTTTCCAGGGTGCAGCCTCTGCCCCGCGAACAGCAGGATTTGACCGTGGCAGGCGCCAGCCCCTTGGCCTTGCCCGAGGTGGTTCAGCGGGTTGCAGCCTGACAAGAGGGAGGAGGGGAGAACTTGGCAAGCTTCTGAAGCCGCCGCGACCGGCTGGCAGGGTTATTTTTTAAGATCTTGCTTGTGGAAAGGTATGGGTTTATTACCTGGCCTGGAACCTAGAGCTCGGGTAGCAATCCATTCATATAAAAAATGTGCACGTTATTGAGCAGCAGTCTCTGCCCACCTTTATGTTCACGAGGGTGTGCAATAGCAGTCGCTAAGGTCAGCGTGCGCGCAGCGCGCGTGCGCGCACAAACGTTGCGACCACAAAACGGACGCGTGCAACTTCCCTACCCAACCTCTCCACCTGTGCACATCTGGAAACACACACACACACACACACATTTGTCCCTTTAGAATTAACACCAGTCCCTTCCCGACCCCAGCCTGCTAGGTGCCTTTGGGCCAACCGGAAGCAGCCTCCCCTCTGGCCCCGCCCCAGCCCTACCCTGCTTGCCAACCCCTCTCCGCCTAAGGCAGGTGCCTGGCGGGCTACAGTTGCGGGTTGGCTGTGCTCCATTGCGGCCCAAGCTGACGCCTTCCTGCTGGCCAGACAGAAAGTTTTTAAGAAAAAAATGGACAGCAAGAAACACCAGAGAGGCCTTTTCTGGCCCTTTAGAACAAATTCCTGTGCCGTAACCCACCTCTCCCACCACCCAAATCTGAGCAGTCCATGGATTGACAGCTCTCTCTAGCGGTTGCAAGAGAGATATTTGTGTATGTGAGTATAACATATTATATATTAATATAGGACACTTTTATACCATATTATATGTATATTGATGTATCCACCTGCTTACATATAATATACAACCAAAAGTGTATATTATATACTATGTATCTTTCATAACACTGTCCCCCCCAAAAAAAAAATTCATTTTGGGAAGCATTGGTAAGGAATGCAGGAGCGAGGTGGCCAGGCAGCCAGAGCTTCCAGGAGGGAAAAGAGAGGAGGGAGGAGGCAGAGACTGCTGTTGTGCTGGCGTTGCTGAGCAACTGGAGAGCCAGTCCAAGAGAAAGCCCGTGCTAGGAGCGCGAGTGGCCCTACATTTTATTCTGCCCAGTTCAGGGGCAGAGATAGATCTAGAAACAGGAGGTGCTCCGTGTGCGGGGGAGGCACGGGACAGAAAAAGTTCTTTGAGTCAGGTTCAGTAACACGGGGCTGACTGCTGAGCCACTGCAAGTCCAGGAAGGTCCATATTTTGCTGGGGGCACTGCTGGGCAGGAGCCCTGTGGTGGCTTTAGGGGCTGGGGGCTCCTTGGGGGTCTTGAGAAGTCTGAGAGCAAGGAGCACTCTGTCTCTGAGAAATAAGAGGCAAAACGGGTCAGGAAATAGTCTTCTGGGAAAGAAAGGAGAAAAAACACATTACCTAGATGAAAATGAATTCGGCCTTTGCTGCTTGGAGGGCTTGGCCCCCATCACGTTGGCTTCAGCTCCAAGCCCGGTCCAAATGCCATGTTGAAGTCAAGTTCCAGAGTTAGGTTTATTGGCCATATTTATGTCTGGGTTGAACGAGATCATGGAAAACTGAAGGAGCCAGATTCCTTCCCCACCCGCACTCCCTTCTTTGAAACAAGTCTTTGAGAGGCTGGCTGTGCCCAGGCCAACCAAAACGGCAGTTGGGAAGACCAGGGATGGCACTTTGGCTTCTCTGGCCTTTTCCCCCATCTTCCCCCTCTTTCTGCTGTGTCAGCTCAGACTGGAAGAGCAAGCACAGCTGGCCCAGTGAGAGCTCATGTTCTTTCCATTTCTCTTTTTTCCCTTCTGTCTCTCACACCCCTCGCCCTCCCCCCTCTCCCTGCCCTACTCTGAGGCATCCCCTGAGGGCTTGAGTTTTAAATCTGAGCAGCTGTGAGTTAGTCCTGGGGCCTGAGCTGGCTTTGAGCAGGCAGGTGGGCCTGCAGCTGCAGAGGGAGGGCCGGGCTGACCCTGGAGCCAGAGGTCACGGAGAGGGTTAGAGCAAAGGGCATGGGAGCAGGAGTTCCTCCCTGCAGAAACTGCTCCCCTTTTGCAGTGAGGAGGAAGAGGGTAGGAAGGGGAGGGAAAGCTCATCAGAAGTTTTTACTTAGTACCTGAATCACATGTACGAAACTTTGAGATATTTAAGGTATGTAAGATGCAATTTTGGAGAAGGAATCCCTTCCTCCAGAGCCACTGAATCCACAGACAAGAACGCCATCAAAAAGATTGTACTCACAAGGAGCCAAACAGAAAGATGAGACCAGAGAAGGTTGCCGCCAGCGATAAATGGGCAAGTGGGAGGGGCTCTTTTAGTTTTAGCTTTGCATTTTTACCACAGTTGGTCCAAAAGGGCCGCTCTCAGAGGCCATCCTTAAATTCTAACCTGGGGTACTGCTTATTCAAAGCAATAAGATTATGTATATGCAGAAATAAATAGACAAATAAGCAAGAAAATCAATGTAGGCTTTTTGTCCCCGCAACATCCAGAGAATACCTGTTTTGTTTCTGGTTCCATTCCTTCCATGATTTCTGTTTAATATTATTTCTCTCTTCACTTTTTAAAATATAAATCCAGGGAAGTGACTAGAAATCATGAGAGTGGCCTTTCCTGATTGGCCAATCAGCTTAGCACCGTCCTAACATGTCTCCAGAAATCATCTGGATATTGGCCAAAGAATGTTACAGCTGGAAAGAATGGATGAGGACACTGAAGTCCAGGGTAGAAAGTCCCTTGCCTAAAACAATGGGCAGGGTCAGTGGCAGAGACAAGGAGTCCTAGGGCTCCTCCCACTATTCCTGGCTACTTCACTGTCACCAGTCTCTAGGACCCTTTCTTGGCCTGATCTAATCAGCAGGGAGGACTTTGGCCAACGTGGCCAAATGCTACCTACCCTTGGTGAGACTTGTGAAGTCAAAATAAGGGGCCCCCACTTGGGGGTTCTCTATTTCAGAGGCAGGAGAAGGAGTGAGGCAACCCCAACCTGGACATGCAGCGCCATTGTAGCGTCACACTTACTTCTGTCCTTCTGTGTGGTCTCCCAGGCAGAGCTGGCTTGGGCCAGCAGTTCACTGAGACAAATGAGGCACAGAGTGAGCGAGAAGCTGAGGTCAGCCAAGGAAAGATGAGTCTCCTTGTCGGCTCTTTAGAATTGTGTGTGCAGCTGAAACATAACACAGGTTACCTGGGTAATTTCTAAGTGGGCAACTCACTTTTTTTAAAAAGATAAGAAAAAAAGGTAAAATTAATTCTAAAATATTATCTTTTAACATGTACTGCAACAGTTATAATGAGACACTTTGCATTCTTTGCTTCCTATGAAGTCCTTGGAATCCAGTGTGTGTTTCACTCTTATGCCACATCTCAATTTGGATACTGAAGTTCCATTGGAAAT